CGGACCGGCAAAAGTCCACAGCTCAGCCCACCCTTCTCTTCACCTTCTCTGCTTGTTCCCCAGCCACGGTGCACAGTCCGCGCAGTCCCTGGCTAGCCGGGTGATTTTTAGGTTAATTCTTAGGTCCTACCACCAGTCGGGGATCTCCGAGCCGCCTGTACTGTCAGGGTCACTCCGTTCGCTGTCAGACTACAGCTCCGTATGTCTCCTTTTTTTGGTATTTTCACGCAAATTCTTCTGTTAATTGGGGTTTAGTCCAGTTCTGTATCCTTCCCTTCAAGGCTCGGGGGTACACGATTATCTTGTGTCTGTGTTAATTGGTTTCCCTTTTCTTTGTTGAAGAGGGTCTGTGCAATCCTTCTGCCTAGTCCGCCATCTTGCCAGAACTCCAAGTGTATCTGTGAGTTTTTAAGCTTACAAAGATAAGGATGAGGTTCTTGCTTCTGAGGAATTTGTGGGAAAATTATCCCAAATACTTCAAAATAACATTAATTATAATAAGAAACAGAACCCAAAGAAACCCAAGCCCATTGCTTTCGAGTCAATTCCAACTCATAGTGAATTTATAGGGCAGAGTAGAACTGCCCCATAGGGTTTCTAAGGCTATAAACCTTTACAGAAGCAGAATGCCACATCTTTTTCCTGCCTAGTGGCTGGTGGGTTCAAAGCACCAACCTTTCAGTTAGCAGCCGAGTGCTTTAACCACTGCACCACCAGGCTTCCAATAAAACAGGGCACATAATTCCACTCAAAAAAGAGGAAAATGAAAGAGTAAAGAAATAGTAAAGGTAACATATACATGGTTAATAAAGAGCTCTGGTCACAGTGGTTAAGCATTCGGCTGTACTTCAAACTCACCAGTGATTCCACAGGAGAAAGATGAGGCAGTCTGCTTCTACAAAGATTTACAGCCTTGGAAACCTTATGGAGCAGTTCTATTCTATCCTATAGGGTCACTATGAGTCACAATAGACTCAATGGCAGTGGGTATACGTGGTTAAGAAAATCTAACAGAACCAGAAAGAAAAAATGGAAGAGAGAAAGCCTCCCCTTCATCAATTTGCTCTCCAGAAGGATTCACTGTTTAGCTTCCTGTACTTTATTTCCAGGGGAAAGAAAGATATGCAAATCAGCAGGTAGACCTATCATATTTATAGCTATGTATTTTTTTAGTTACTGAAAAGGGCTGTCTCATATACAGTGTTCTACAGCTTCATCTTTCCACATCATGACACAATGAGGACCTTCTGTCTGTCACATCTGTGGTAAATTAATCATTTGCTCTTCTATTTTGTGGCATTTCTTCCCATTTGAAGGTTTAAAATTTTTGTGGCTAAATTTATTCATCTTTCCCATTATGGTTTCTGAGTTATATTTTTCTTAAATTCCTTCCTGATCTGTTGAACCAAGTGTTTTGTTTCACATGAGTCCTGAGTCCAGCTGCAGGGATGCCATCTGCCCAGACCTTTTCAGCCTCCCCAGAGCAGACAGTGCATACCTGGGCCTGAGGTAGGTGAACACAGACAGACATCCCTCTGCTTACCAGATCATGTACGGCTCACAGACCCGTGGCCTGTGTGATGAGAGTGCCATCAGCTGCAGCCCTAAAGGAAAGGAGCAGGTGTTTGTGGATGCCTCTGGTGAGGAGGGAGGGTCTGACTTTGCCTGCTTCAGACATCACAATGCAGGTGAGTCACACTGAGAACAATGCCCTAGACTGAGGTAAGCGGCTCTTGCATGGGACCACTCAGTTGGACAAATGATCAGAACCAGCAGTCAGCTTCTCCCAGGAGGTGGCATGGAGTTCAGACTTAGCCAGTTGGTCTGTGTGTAACTAGAGCAGCGACCCTGGATGAGACTTCTCTGGCCCCTACTTTCTGCCCTTCTGGAAGATGGACCTTCTGGAAAATGGCTTTTCCTTAAAGTCTCTGGCTTTCCAGTAGGGAGTATGGAAAGGAGATCCAGACCCTGGAACAGCTACAGCATACTCTGGCCCAGTACTGTGACCACCCCATCCTCCCACCCCCACCTGACCAAGAGCAAGCCCCTATCCCACCCAACCAGCACTCACACATTAAGGGCAGGTAGGGCAGCAGTGGTCACGGGGCCAGCCACACGATGCACTGCAGGCTGGAAGCTAGCAGCCTGTGGAAGCTCCGTGGCTGTAAGCATTGAGGGCCACATGGGGTAGCCCACCGGGGTCCCTGGCGCAGAGATGGGCTGCAGTGGTCCTGGGGGTGCATAGTGGTGGTGGTGGTGCACTGATGCCAGCCTCTGCTTCTCTGCTCGCAGGAGGATAGGGTGAGCCCACTGCTGCTGAGGGTCCTGACACAACACACAAAAATGGCCCATTTTAGGGAATGTTTCAAACAAGGAACCCCATTTTTGGTCCCCCTGATTCCTAACTCGGAGAAGGGCAAGGAGTGCCAGCTTCTAACCAGAGCCCAGGAACTGCACTGAGTGCATTCCAGTTCCAGGCAGTGCTTTCTGTACCCCAGATCTTGTACTCCTCTCTCTTCTGGGGTGGGATGGGACCCCTGTTCCCAACTCACAAGCCAGGAACCCAAAGTGGACTTTTCAGAGGTGCATAAATGCAGATATTTCCAGAAGGAAAACAACTCCAGGTGTTCTCATTTAGATTGGGTGGTCCCTGCTGCCCCACTGCCCCTGTCCATCTAGCCTACCTGTGGGGTGGAGTGCAGAGTGGTGACCCTTGGCCCAGGGGCAGCAAGTGCTGTGGGTGGCAAAGCCTTGAGCATCATGTTCTGCATAATGATCTGGTGCATCTGGGCATTCTGCATCAGCATCATCTCTACCATATCTGGAAGGAGACACGGGGCTCAGATTTCACATAGGAGGGGTGCTGGTTATGGAATCTACTTTGGAAACAAAGCTTTTTTCTTATAGATCCTTTTTTTTTTTTTTTTTTAATAGTGCTTAACAAGAAACAACATCTGGAACACTTTCTTTGTGCAGGTTTGTGAGGTATCTTCTGAGATGTGAAACATCTAGGTCAAAGGGCATGTGTATTTTAAAGTTTCATTGCCAGTATCCAATTTGCTTCTCAAAAAGCTGCCTCAATTTGCATTTCTGTTACTGATTAACAGGAGCCCCACTCCAAATCCTCACTGTCATGGGCTGCATGGTGACCCTCAAAGGTAAGTCCATGCCCTAACCCCAGGACCTGGGATTGTGAACACATATGGAAAAAGAGTCTTTGCAGATGTGATTAAGATTCTTGAGATAGAAGATTATCCTGGATTGTCTGGGTGGGCCCTAAATGCAATGACAAGTGTCGTTATAAGAGAACATCAGAGGAAGAGTTGAAACAAATGAAAGAGAAGACCATGTGAGAATGGAGGCAGAGATTGGAGTGATGCAACCACAAGCCAAGGAATACCTGGAGCCACCAGAAGGTGGAAGAGGCAAGGAAGGATCCTCCCCTGGAAACTTTGGAGGTAGCAAGGCCCTGCCAACACCTTTATTTCAAGATTCTGGCCTCCAGAACTGTGAGAGGGAGAGTTCCAGTAAGATGGTGGAATAGGCAGAAAGACTGCACAGACCCTTTTCAACAAAGAAAAGGGGAACCAATTAACACAGATACAGAAGATAATCCTGGAGCCCTGAGCTTTGAAAGAAGGATATAGAAGTGGACTAACCTCCAACTAGTAGAAGAACCTGCATGAAAATACCAAAAAAGGAGACATACGGAGCTAGGGTCTGTCAGCAATCCTGATGGCATAGACAGCTTAGATATTGCTGAGTAGTGTTAAGACCTAAAAATTAAGCTAAAAATTGGCCCTGCTATCCAGGGACTGCACAGAGGATTGCACTGGTGGCTTGTGCATAAAAGGGAAAGCAGCAAAGAGGAAGGTGGGCTGAGCTGTGGACTTTTGCCTGTCTGAAGGGTATAGCCATTTTGAATGTTTTCAAGCAGTTTGACCATTTTAGATATTTAAAGTGACAGCATTCTCCCAGATTCCAGGGACTTAAGAATAGGCTCTACTTGCTGGGAACCACAAGGACACTCTGGACGCCAACAACTGGAAAGGTGGGATATTTCCCTTGTTACTCTTAGACCGCACACCTTCTTGGTAAACAGAGGTATGGCTGTCCCTCACTCCCACCCACCTTCTGGACTGGCAGGAATTCCTTCACAGTCTGTGGACTTGGACAGTCTGGGTGCCCTGCCCAGATTCCACCCCTCCTTTTTTTTTTTTTTTTCAGTTTGTTTGTTTTTGTCTGATTTAAAAGTATTGTTATTATTATTTTGTCCTTTTCATTGTTATTCTTTGTTCTTCCCTTCCCAG